CATTAACCATACTCTCTGGTATAGCAATATAATCACTTTCTCTCAAAGTCTTGTTTTGAAGTTCATCAGCTGCTGCTGTTAAGACAAGATCCACCCATTCTAATAAGTGGCGGGATGAACCTCTTTGACATGCCAGTTGAAGCATCAACTCGCAGGCCAAACGCCTTCCTGTGGAACCAAATTAACATATTGATTTAGTCCATAAAAACTTAAATTAGTTAGAGTAAATATTAATATGGTAGAGGATTCTTACCAATGGGGTCAGCACCAGACTGGGGTAAAACTGTTTTTCGAAGAAAAGATGTAACCTCAGACAGGCAGGTTGAGCCCAGAACTGTGATCTGGCTTTCATTAGCTAGAGAGAGCAAAGGGAGACTTCTCACAACATCTGATGCTGTTTGAAGTACTTGATGACTAAGATTTGGGCCCTCTGAAAGCAGGTATCAGATAAATGAGTGTCTGCAGTTACTTAGAGAAGTCTAATTTTTTCTATAGTTCTTAATTCATACCAGAAGGAATGGTGAACTGCCAACTCTGTTGAATTAGGGCAAACATAAGAGTGAGGCCAGTGCGAACACCCATCTCTAACAATGCATTTGGAGCTGAGCTGGCCCTTTCAAGTTGGACAATGGTGCAGTCTCGACAACGGTCCTCCTCAGGGATGACAGACAACGATCTAACCTGATGAAAAAGGCGAATTTAAATATGAAGAGTCCTGTCCTGTGCCAAATGAATTAATTTCAACATACTTTGTCTTTGTTGTGATATTTATGACGAAATGCATAATAAATTCTTTCTAAAATGAGCAGTCTCTGTAGAAGAATAGTAGCAAAAGGGGTCTCAGAACACACTGTTCTGGCTAAATCTAGCTGAGAGGAGAGCAAGTCTGCAATCTGCAGGCAAGAAATGATTATTAACACATTTCACAAATTACAACATTATATGTGTGTGGAAATTGGTATAAGAAAGTAAGGAACTGTCTTACCTGTTGAATTAATTCTGTGGACTGAGGCGATTGACTTTCAAAATCAGGTAACAGGGGAACTGTGTTTTGGAAATCGGATATGGAAGATGCAGTAATGTTTGCAACTTCTTTATTTGAAGATA